TCAAAGAAATCGGCATTTTTCTGGCTACTGGACAATTTTCTTCGAATCTTTTCTATTATTGGCCCAACACCTTTTACGTCCATTTAAAAACACATTTCTGTGTGGATAGTACCGAAAAACATTCATTGAAGGCACGAAAAAATGTAAATTTTCAGTCCACAAGGCATAAGGATACTGAAGCTTTGGGAGCAATTTTCTGGCTAATTTTACCTGTCATAACAAGCAACCCCCACCTTCTTCAATCACATATACCTCGACTTCTATTCAAGATAGATATGATTTTTTTGCCCAATGCAACACAAATGAACAAGCTTTAAGATGATATTAATAACTATGCCCCCAAAACTGAAGAGTGTCTGATTCCATCGTGTTGTGACGCATATGAACACACCAAGTTCTAGCTCAGAACAATTGTTGCCCGGGTCTAGATTTTAATAATATAATGCACTGATATCAAACACGCACGCGTGAATAACAAGACCACTGATAAAGTTGCAGAACCAATCAGATTCGACTTGTGACGTCATCCCATCTAGTCTGTGTCCACAGGTATTGAGCTAAAATTGATGTTTGCTTTTGTTAACTTTTTTGTTAAACAAGCACTTTGCTCCGGAGTTTTGGATATCTTAAAATGATGGATATCTTAAAAGGTTCTTGTAAATGAATTTTCCGGAATATACTCGTTCTGAGCCCTAATTGGATTAAAAACAGTGCATTATGATTGATGATAGTAAACAGGGGAATACCTGTTCCGAGAGTGTAAGCAGCACGAGAATAACGAACAACAACAAATCGTGTATCATCATCATCATCATCATCATCATCATCATCATCATCATCATCATCATCATTGTATAAAGAAGGTATTAAAACAGTTAAGACCTTGTTGTGTTTCCAAAAAATATATAATTATCCACAGTTCAACGTTTCGCCCTCAACGGGCTTCTTCAGGAACATTCACAAAGATAAGTGGCAAGAATCTAGATAATATGCACATGCTATAAAAACGAAAGTGTGTACATAGGCCTACATGTCTCAACATTTAAAGGAGCGGTGAGTACAAATCGCAAAAGCCAGAGAGAAGGGAACACTAAAGCCAGAAGTGGTAGAGAGAGAGGGGGGGAACAGGTGCCTGGAAGTAAGGAATATAATAATAATAATAATAATAATAATAATAAATAGCATTTATACTGCGCATTTCCATTTCCTAAAAGATGCTCAATGCGCATTACAATGAAAAAGACATCACATCTTCAAAAATTAATCGACACAAAGGTGTACGTAAAACAAAGTATTATACATATAATATAAATGCATATGTGTAAAATTTTATACCAGAAAAACAGTCTCGCAGTGAGGTTGAAAATGTGTTCACTTAAAATATACAATGCAATAAAAATTCACGAACAGTCAAAATAAAGTTGAAACGTGAGTAACTAGAAACATTCATTAAAACATTAATTCTATACAGATAGAAAAACATTTCCGTTCTCTCTCTCTCTCTCTCTCTCTCTCTCTCTCTCTATATATATATATATATATATATATATATATATATATATATATATATATATATATATATATATATATATATATATATATATATATATATATATATATATCTCCCTCTCTCTCTCTCCCTCTCCCTCTATCTCTCTCTCTCTTTCTCTCTCCTTCTCTCGCTACCTCTCTCTCTTTTCTCTCTCTTTTCTCTCTCTATCTCTCTCTTTTTCTCTCTCTCATTCTCACTCGCTATTTCTTCAGTCTCACAGTCTGGCATACACATACATATATATCACAGTACATAATAATGACAGGTATGCTTTTGTGAATAAAAATGCTTCAGCTGATTTTTGAAAATGGAAATTGTTGGGGCAGATTTTATTTTATATGGGAGTTCGTTCCATACCTGTGGACCAAAGAACAAAAAGGAACGCTCGCCGTATGTTTTGTAATTTTGTTTTGGAGTTTTAAGAATTAGATTGTCAGAGGCTGATCTAAGGGCTCTAGGTAAATTATATAATTCCAGGAATGTTTTAAGATAAAAAGGCACACTATCATTTATACATTTAAAACAGAGAACGACAGTTTTGTATTTAATCCTTTCTTTTATTGGCAGCCAGTGTAGTTCTTTCAGAATTGGTGTTACGTGGGCTGATTTCTTTTGTTTCATTATCAATTTTGCTGCTTGATTTTGGAGTACTTGTAACTTTGATAGTTTTTGGGATGTCAAACCGGACAAAATAACATTACAGTAATCTAACTTTGATAAAATGAGTGTTGTTACAAGTGTCTTGGCTGCTGCTTTAGTTAAATAATTTCTTACACTGCCAATTTTCTTAAGCTGAAAGTAAATACTTTTGCTGAGCTGGCTTATTTGGGAGGACATAGACATATCATAATCCAACTGAACCCCTAGATTTTTAAGACTTCTTTTTGGACGAATGGTATGGTTATTAATATCAATTTGTAGCTCTGGGAGATTTTTAATGGCTTTTGTATTTCCACTCAACATTATTTCCGTCTTGTCATCATTAAGTTTCAATTTATTGCTGGTCATCCATATTTTAAAATCTCTAGTACATTAACAGAAAGGTGCGGTGAACACAAATCGGAAAGGCCAGAGAAAGAGAAACACTAGGGCAAGAGGTGGTAGAGAGAGGGAAAGGGAGAGAGAGAGAAACAGAGAGAGAGAGAGAGAGAGAGGGGGGGGGGGGACATGCATGGAGGTAAGGAATATAATAATGGAAGGGTGCGGTGAACACAATCAATGAGTCGAAAAGGCCAGAGGAAGGGAAACACGAAGGCAAAAAATGGGAGAGTGAGTGTGTGTGTGTGTGTGTGTGAGAGAGAGAGAGAGAAAGAGAGAGAGAGAGGGGGGGGGGACTAGAACGTGGAGGTAAGGAATATAACAGAAAGGCAGGGCCAAAGGGAGGGGGTTACAGGAACATACGGGGTGATTAGTACGTTACGTTGTAAATTTAAGGACATTCAACTGTTTTCAGTTTGGTAAGAGTTCGTCAAGCCATTTTTTAAAAAATGGTTCCCTACTTAGAACCTTTTATCTTTCTGCTTTCGAAATTCATTTTTTGTTGTGAAATGTGTCGTTACAGTCTACTTTAAAAATAGACCGTGAAAAAAATCGTTGTTTTCTTTCACCCTTACCCCATACAAAAAGTATAAAAAATAATTAAAATGGTGCTAATGACAATGATGAGAAGAAGCCGTCGTTATTTTTGCTAAAAGCTGTTCATTACGAAGCCCTAACACCGAAAGGTTGATCCTTTTTAATTAAAAAAGCGACAAACGTTTAAAGTTTTTAAATTTATATTTACTTATTGAAACGTAATCAGGACTCTCTCCACCTATTCAACTTTTCCAACAATGCTAAGAAGAAGCCGATGTTGGTCCTGTCAAGTCTTTACACGAATAATAATTATCATTTCAGTTTGTAAGTGTTGCTTCATTTCTTGTCGACGAGTTTTGTTCTTTTAACTTTAAACAATTTAAATGATTTCCAATGACACTTTTTACAGTGTCTATTATATAAACAAGATTATACATGAATGGATTGATGGCCGAATTAATGGGCACTATGAGAATCGCCGACCATACGTAGAACTGGTATCCCAGCTGATGTCCTGCCATGGAGATCAGGCCCATAATTCCTACAGGAAACCAGCAGGCAAAGTCTGTGGCAGCCACGAGGAAAAGTCTCCTGGATATTTCCACGTCCTGAGCTCGTCTCATGGCGGAGCTGCTCGTTTGGTTGGCCACGCTCTTCCTCACCTCGACTAACGCCCTGTAGATGACCAGCTGGCCGACGGCGATGAGCAGGAAGAGGAACAGGTTGAGAAAGACAAAGATAGCCAGAGAGAACTGGAAGCCTGGGACAGAACTGTCGCCAAGAGGCAAACCGAGACAGACGCCGTCGAAATTATACGCGTGCCAGTGTTGGAATGGTGGCAAAAAGGGCAACATGGCAATAGACAGACCGAGCAGCCAGGCCAGAGCACTGAGCACATGAATATATCTGCCAGATATTCGGTATTGGCCAAAAGGAAATTTGATAACCAGGAATCTGTCCAAAGTAATGAGCAAAATAAAGAACATTGAAATTTCACTGGACGCAGTGGACAAAAATCCTGCAAGTTTACACACGGGGCCGTGTTTCCAACCAGCTTCATGCAAAAAGTAATCATTTCTGTAGTAAATGTCAGCTGAGGCAATAATCAAAAGGTAAATTCCCATGAAAAAATCAGCAATATGCAGGTGAGCTACAAAATACCAGTACGCCATTCTCACTGGTGACCTCTGATGGCGAAGGCGGCTAATAAAGACAACGAGGTTCCCCAGGAATGCAGTGGCACCGATGACCCACAACAAGACGCGCATGTACAAACCGCCAACCAAGTCTGAGCAAGACGAGAAGGGATCCATCGGCGCCTGGCAACTTTTTAGCCAGCGATGGAGTTTTGGACAGCACAGTTTGTACGTGTCTGCCAGGAGGGTCGTGATATTGACTCCAGAAAAACTTTCCAAAGAGAAAGCAATGTTCGGGATTAATCTAAGGTCTAGAGTGCCAATAGACATGCCATTTGGAAATAACCGTGGACGAAGATTAGACACGTTAGTGCCTCTTAGGTTGAAAATACTTAAGTGAAGGAGAGGAGCTATCTCCACAGTATGGACACTTGTAAATGACAAATCTATTTCCACCAATACTTTCAAAAAACGAGGGATCCTAGCTACAGTTAAATACGGATTGTGAGATAAGTTTAAGAATTGGATTTCTCTAAGGGATGCCATAAATTCGTTCATGTGTGCATTTTCGAGTGCGTTATGACTTAAGTCTAAAGTAAATACATTTCCCAGATTGGGTTCAAAGCAATTTTTAAACGCCGGGATCGCTATGTTGCAAGAAGAAATGTTCAAGTGAACTAGTCGCCGGGACAAGCTACACGAAAGAGTGCTCACTGCTGCCGACGCATCAATACCAC